CATCATGTTATATAACGGGGCTACACTGTGTACATATATATATATATATATCAAGGCTCCACACTAACTTTTTTTTTCAGTGGCCCGATCGGGCCACCAAAATCATTGATTTTCACATTTTGGTGGCCCCAAAATGAAATCTGGTGGCACCAAAAAAAAAACAAAGAAAAACATAAATGTTTATTTCAATCTCGTATTGTATATTATTTGAAAATTGGGCCGTCTGATGCATTCCCACAAGTCTTTAAACAAACCCCACACAATGGCACACACTGACATCGATGATTGAGGCATACATTTGAATTATCCATTCCACGCTGCGTTCGAAATTGGTGCCGACCCGGAGGCCCGAGGCCACCAAGTTTTTGCTTCGGCCACCATCTCTATGAAACTGCCGGTCCTCGTGACCGACACTTTTTCCCCTCATATTATGCTGAAATACTACGGTTATCGCAACGGCTGTTTAGACACAGACTTGTAAACGGGAGCGCATTCTAATATGCTCCATTCTTGAGCGTAGACGGGGTATCCAAAACATCTAGAGCCGAGGGCATGAACTACCTCAACGCATGATTCGCCACACGAGCAAAACCTCGTGACAGTCTAAGAAATCGATTGCGGCATGACCCCAGTATTTTTATGACCGCATCACAATAAGTTCATATGTCGCAGGGGTTATCGTGGGGAGTGAGGGCACGACCAGTGACACCTGACACGCACGTAATCAAAGCTGTTAACTGAATTCGTCACTTTTATTTACGTAGAGAGTGGACTATTTTTATTCAGTTCGATATCTAGAAGCAATGTAAACTGTATCAAGATTCTATAGGCACTTGTAACTTTGCAGATGTGCAGCAGCATTGATCTATGCATGGGGGTACCGTGGACTGGGGAGGAGAAAAACGAAAGTAAAACCTTTCCCACAAGCTCCCCCGACATTCCTAGAGCTTGAGATTGCAGTAGGTGGGTATATAGCGCCACCGCGCGGACATTTATTAAAATTTGACATTCCTTGTATTTTTTGTATTGTTTTTATTTGTTTTTGGTCTAAAATGGTCCATACCATCTTAGTACTTACTACGCATGTATGCTGATTAAGAATATATATGGTGTTGGGGGTGAACTTTTACGTGGGGGGAGAAGATAGACAGACAGACAGACAGACAGACAGACAGACACAAAAACGGCTCGCCTTTTATATAAGAGATATATATGCATTATTTTGTACAGCCTGCATGCATGCAGCTAGAGCTCCAGCGCAGCTAGCTAGCAATATACATTACATACAGTGCAGTACAGTGTAGTGCAAATTGCGACCGGCGCGGTGTCTGCTGATTTGTGTTCATTTGATCACGCTCGCTCCGCGAATTGCTCGCTATCTTTTGAATGAAATTAGCATGTAAGAAACAATTATCTTTATCACATAGACACTTTGAAATTTTGGTGGCCCGACATCAAGTTTTGGTGGCCCCGGACCACCGGGCCACCGCTAGTATCGAGCCTTGTGTATATATATATATATAACCGTATAATAATATATATACAGTAAAATTCGTAAAGACTTGCCAGTCCCATGAAAAGGTAACCGATCTCGGACCGGGGGGTGCGCCCACGTTTTCAATGCTGCTCCAGGTCGCGGCATTTACGAGTGGCGTTCTTGTGTTTTTTCTCGCAGGACGAGGCCGAGCAGATCGACGTGATCCCGGCGCAGGCGTCGTCGCAGGCGACCGAGCCGCAGAAACGCATCACAACGCCGTACATGACGAAATACGAGCGCGCGCGCGTGCTGGGAACCCGCGCACTGCAGATAGCGTACGTACACATAGTGTAGGGTAGCGTGTGTGCGTGTGTTCATGTGCGCGCACGCGTGCTGGGAACCCGCGCACTGCAGATAGCGTTATACGCGTCAGGATCGATACGCATCAGGATCGATACGCGTCAAGATCGATACGCATCAGGATCAATACGCGTCAGGATCGATACGCATCAGGATCGATACGCGTCAAGATCGATACGCATCAGGATCAATACGCGTCAGGATCGATACGCATCAGGATCGATACGCGTCAAGATCGATACGCATCAGGATCAATACGCGTCAGGATCGATACGCATCAGGATCGATACGCGTCAAGATCGATACGCATCAGGATCAATACGCGTCAGGATCGATACGCATCAGGATCGATACGCGTCAAGATCGATACGCATCAGGATCAATACGCGTCAGGATCGAT